TTCTTTCTTTCTTGTATGTCACCTAGTTGAAAGTTTAACTAAAATCCGAGGCTTGTGAAAAGGTTGTATGTTGGTACAAACAATGCATTCTCTGTAAACATTGGTAAAATAATTTAACTTTTCCAGTATTTTCATTTCCATTGCTATTTTGCCAAATTCATTTCCATAGACCCTTTGTTTTATCTTCTTTAGAAACCCAAAAAGAAGTTTTTTAATGACTTGCGTGATCATATTGTAGTCTGTGTTTTTGGAGATGCCACTTCAACCATGATTGGATTACGGAACTTTGTAATGCCACTGCGAGCTAGCAACTTTGCATTCAGTGAGTTGAAGGACATTGTCTTTGTTGGCTGCACTGAATACCTTGAGCGGGAATGGGAATTCATCCACAATTTTCCCAAACTTCACTTACTGAAGGTATGAGGTTTTTTTTAATGTATGGGAGCATCATTGGATGGGAGCATCATTGGATGGGGCAATAAGGCAAATGTCTTTAGCTGTATTATGAAGCAAGACCATTGCATTCCTCTCCCTCCCTTGGATATGTTGAATTTCTATATTGTCTGCAGACTATTCTGTCCTTTTTTATCGCAAGAAATCCATATGTTTTCAAAATATTATAGGAATGTTTATATTAAATTGAAACTGAGGTTCAGTGTTGTTAGTTCTATGGTTCTCAACTTACAAGCCACTCAGAGTAAACTGTAGAGTAGATGACACCATAAAAATGCATTTTTTTTCTTTTAACAAGCCTGTAATCCCTTGCGTCAAGGTGGAGTCAGGATGACTGAATGGAGTTGAGCATTTACTGCCCAGATGACCCTCCTGAAGCCTATACTGAGTTCACAGCAGATATTTTCTCTTTGCGCCCAAAGAGAAAAGTACGTGCCATTAGCCAGGATCAACTCAGAGCCTCCTGATTGTGAAGCAAGAGCTCCACTTCCAGGCTACCATGCCCCTTAGGCATAAAAAAGTAATAATTATATATAAACAAACAAATTTCTTACTTTTCTTACCAGGGCACTGGATTATCTTGTTCAGATCTCAAGGCAGCTGGCATCCAGTACTGCAGCATGTGTGCCATTCTGTCAGCCAATCCCAGTGATGTCAGTGATCAAACACTAGTGGATACCAAATCTATCTTGGCTACCCTGAATATACGTTTCTTGCAGTTCAAGCAAACTTCATTGACAGGTAAAACATGGGCATCCACTGAAGGATGGAGGTTCAAAAGATATAGTTTGGATGATGCCATTGTCTCACTTTATATAGTTGCACCAGATGTTTCAATCATATAAGTTCATATAATCATTATAAAATATATATATATATATATAATTATAATTATAATTATAATTATAATTATAATTATATAAATTATGGGATGATACCACCACAGGTGTGTTGTCATTCTGGCATCATCAGGATTTGCTGTAGATGTAACTGGATGAGAGAGAGAAGCAGGTGAGAGGAGGAGGGGGGAAGGGAGGGAGGGGGAGGGAGGGAGAAAGGAAGGAAGGAAGGAAGGAGCCATTTCAGGACATAATTCCTTAATTAGACTCCACTTACCATTTCTTTTTAACATTTATCTCACCTATAAATTACATTTGATGAAGGATCTTAATCTATTTATGAACAAAATCTGTGGGGAATTCCACAAGGGATACTATGAATGGTTTTTAATTTCCAGCACAGCTGGCCCTTCTATTAGAATTGTGTTAGTAACTATGTTAGACAGCAAAATACAGGGGTTCTCCTGAGTCCCCCACCCATTCTCCTCTACGGTTCCTGACCTTGCAACTCTTTTTCTTTTTTTAATTTTTATTTTTATTAGACAACACAAAAAAGAAGAAAAGAACATTAAACACAATGAACATGGCACAATCCTCCTAACCCACAGTTGTCTTACATTGCTAAGTCATATATAAAAACAGTACATATTTACATTCTATATACATAGTATATAATATAATACATATAATCATTTCTTATTATCTTGATCTGTCCTCTTTTCTAACCAACAATAAAACTTATCCCATACTTTGTAATAATCCATTTTATCCTTATTTTTTATTCTTTTGTCAATTTGTCCATTTCTGTGCACATCCAAATTTTCCTAATTATTTCTATTTCACTTGGAGTTTCTTTACATTTCCACTGTTGTGAATAGGCCAATCATGCAGCAGTAATTATATGAATTATTAGGTATATAATATCTTTGTTGTATTTTCCCACATTAATTCCTAACAAGAAAATTTCAGGTTTATATTCTATTTTAATCGTACACATCTCTGCTAACAATTTCGGAATTTTCTGCCAAAACTTTTGGACTTCTTTATAATTCCACCATAAATGATAATATGTTCAATTTTCCTTATTCCACTTCCAAAGATTTGGATACATTTTTGCCAATTTTGATGGCAGCATATGCCATCTATAAAATGATTTATATAAATTTTCTTTAAACGATGTGGCCAAAGTCATTTTTTTGTTTCGTTCCCATAAGATTTGCCAATCATCTAAGTTTATACTATATCCAAAATTGTTCACCCATACCACCATTGTTTCTTTTACTTTTTCTTCCTCTAATTTACATTCCAATACAACTTTATAATTTTTTTATCAATTTCTCATCAATTCCCAATAGTACTTCATCTAATTTTGTTTTGCACCTGCTAATTCCCCACTCTTTCATATCTTTCCCATGTCTCGATTGGAGTTGTAAGTAAGCCCACCATTCTATATCTATTCCTTGGTCCTTCAAATTTTGTCTCGATCTCGTAATTCTCCTCTATCATTTAAAATGTCTTCATAGGTAATAATTTTTCCTTGTCAGAGTAAGTGTGGGTACATCAAAACTTCCAATGTAGATAGCCATATTGATGTTTCTACAGAAATTTGTCTTTTGCGACTCTTTTTCAATGACCCAGAAAAAGAGACTCATGGCTGGATTTATATCAGTGTGTCAGACACATAATCTGAAAAATTACCTTACATCCAACATCATTTATTTTTATCATTATGGATTTTTTTCTTCTGTTTTTTCATTTACAGAAGAATGAAGATGTCCCTTCCTCTTGGGTATGACAATATTAATTAACTGAAAATAAATCGGGGATAGATAACTCACCTAAGTGGTCTGCCCATTTCTTTATTAACATTCAGGAGGTTTAAATAGCACACTGGGCATGCCAAGACAGAGATTAAGAGAGAGGGAGAGAGGGAGACAGAGAGACAGAGAGAGAAGAGAGAGGGAGAGTAAAAGGGAGAGGGAAAGGAGAGGAGAGGAGAGAAGGGAGCACAACATAGAAAATAATTCCATCCAAAACTAAGGGAGTTGTAAAAAAAAAAAAAAGCAGACTTCCTCATGACAATGCAGCAATGCATTTCATATCCAGCAGAAATGCTATCTTTTCCAGGAAGGCTCCTAGAAGGCAGTGGCCAAGATCCTGCTATGTCATTCCCAACTTCATTTATTCTTCATTCACAGTAACACCTGAAACAAATATCTCCATTCTGCTGCTTATCAGAGCCAGCCTAATTCTTTTTATTGACAATTTTAAAAAAACAGTTCAGACATAAAAATGTTTGAGATAAGCACACAATGCAAAATTCCATTTTATCTGATGGTGGAAGAATGTTACCTAATGCAGCTTCTTTCTTAGTGAAGTAAAGAAATTTGCCTCTAAAGGTACCATCAAATGCTTCTGTGGATAATTTACTGTTCACCAATTATATTGTGATTTTTATCTCTATCTCTCTGTCTCTATCTATATATACAGGTAGTCCTCGACTTACAACCATTTGCTTACATTCAAAGTTACAACAGCATTGAGAAAAGTGACTTATGTTCATTTTTCACATGACTTGCAGCATCCCTGTGGTCAGTGGATTAAACTTCAGATGCTTTGCAATTGGCATATATTTATGACAATTGCTGAATCCCGGGGTCAAATAATCCCCTTTTGTAAACTTCTGACAAGCAAAGTCAATGGGGAAGCCAGGCTGACTAAAAACTGGGTTGCTAAACAACTGCAGTGATCCACTTAACAACTGTGTCAAGAAAAGTAATAAAATGGAGCAAAACTCATGTAGCAATAGCACTTAGATTTATATACCACTTTACAGTGCTTTATAGCAGTTTACAGAGTCAGCATATTGCCCCCAACAATTTGGATCCTCATTTTACTCACCTCAGAAGGATAGAAGGCTGAGTCAATCTTGAACCTGGTGAGATTCGAATTGCCAAATTTCAGACAGACAGCTGGCAGGTAGCAGAAATAACCTGCAATACTATGGCTCATAAGAGGTAATAAATATCTTACTTAGCAACAGAAATTTTGGGCTTATTTATGGTCATAAGTTGAGGACTACTTGTACTCTTTATCTCTCTGTTTACATCTATATCTATTTACCTACATAGCTAGCTATGTAACCATCTAGCCATCTTGCTATCCATCTAGCTAGCTAGCTAGCTATTTCAACTATCTAGATTAACATAAATATGTACATGGATAAAGGAAAGGATGGAGGATGGGAAAATCTTAAAAATAACTTAAATCATCAGAAGAAAAACATGATGTATACTTTCTTTTTGTAAAAAATAGTCCATAATGTCTCCTGTACAGAGAGTTAAATTAAGATATGAAGGTTGACAAAGGTCGACAATTCCAATTCCAATTCTCAACTGTTGAATCTAGCATTTTACTTTTTGAAAGGGGAAACAAATTTAGATTATGCCTACTTTCCAGGCAGTGAATTCCATAAAGAACATTAGGACTTTCATATAAATAAACACGCACTATTAATATGCTTTGTAAGTTAGAAGGTTCTTCTGTTTCTCTTTTTTTTAAAAAAATAAAAAATAAAGACAATTAAAAATGTGCCTTTTAAACGCAATGCTTCTCAGTTGCTGACAGACCAATTTTTGAGTTGTTTTGACATACTGCCACCCTGCTGTTCCCATTTAGTTGTTATTTTAAACTTTGCAATGGTAGATAAAGTCTCTTTGTTTCATATCAAAAACTTTGCCAAAACTGGAATGGAGAGGAGGCTGTCATGAATGCAATGTAGGATTCAGAGTTTAACTCTCTTGAATAGTTCTAGAGGGGGAAAAGTCTAGCAGGAAATGTTAGGTTTACACTGAAGATAATAGTAATTAAATGAGAATTTTTTCCATCTAAGAAGTTTGGATTAGGTTATATGAAACCCTGAAAGAAGTTTCTGCCTATCTAAGATTTAACCCAGGGGTAGGAAACCAAGAGGCAGGATTGCACAAATTGTCAATTATCAGATTTGTATCTAAAGGAGATAGTGGAAGATAAGATTAAAGTATTGAATCTCCAGGTCAGAAATTTGGAAACTTTATCCTTCCTCTCCTTTTTATAGGCTGTGCTACTAGAACTGAGTTGTTTGAGAAAATGATTGTAACAAGAAGCACCAAAAAGGGGAAGCTATGGATTTAAAACTAATATCCTTCTATCACAACATTCTCTGGCTAGCTGCTGTGGTTTTGTTTACAATAGCAAGATTCAGACAGCTACCTCTTGGGACCGATGATCAAATGCAGACTATATCTGAAAAGGCACCCAAACTGTAATCACTGGTTCAAAACACAGATAGTCCTTGATGTATGATCACAATTGAGTCCAATATTTCTGTTGCTAAGTGAAACATTTGTTAAATGAGTTTTGCCCCAATTTATGATCTTTCTTGCCAGATTTGTTAAAGCAAGTCACGGTAGTTGTTAAGTTAATAACATGGGTTAAGTGAACCTGATTTCCCCATTGATCAGGAGGTCATAAAAGATGATCACATGACCCTGGGATACAGCAACCATCATAAGTATGAGTTAGTTTCCAAGCATCTGAATTTTGATCATGTGACCACAGAGATGCTGCAATGATCATAAATGTGAAAAATGATTGTAAGTCACTTTTTTCAGTGCTGTTGTACATCAAGGACTGTCTGTATTGAAATCTCAACTCTATTTCTGAGACTGTTAAGTTTGGGTAATGAGAGGCTGAACCAGGGCATGGGTGCAACAAATACTTTATTAAGATAATAAAGGACTGAACGTGCTAGCCAAGCCTGGAACTGGCTCGCAACGATCAGCAACTGGTTGGACCCCGCAGCCTGCTTTTATAGCTGGCTGCTGGGGAGAACCAACCAATGAGCGAGGGGGCAGCCACCCCCGCAGCGCGAACGGACCTGAGTGGGAACTCCTTAGAGTTCCAGGGACATAACACCCCTTTCCCCCAGATGCGAACATGCATAGTCTTTAAGGTAGGCAGGAGGCTTATGCTGGCGCCCAGAACGGCGCAACTCTGGTGGGTTGTCTGTCAGTTCAGAGTCTGTAGGGGAAGGCTGGATCGGTAGGGAGTCACGAACGCGTCCCTCGGTCCGGGTTGGCTCGGGACTCGTAGGGCTGGTCACTGGGGATGTGCTCCCGTTGATTGGTTCGGGCTGGTCAGCCATCTGGAAGTCGCTGTCCGTGTTCGGATTCCCTGGACCGGCTGCTGGTGTAAACAGGTCGCCGGAATTGGTGCTGATGTGGGGTTGATGCTGTGGCCTCGCCCCGGTCTGTAATTCTGAGTCACTGCTGACGAGGGTGCTGTGGCGCCTCCGCAGCTGGTCCAGGTGCCTTCTCCAGACTCGGCCGTCCTCCAGTCTGACCCGATATGACCTGGGTCCGGTGATGGCCACGATCTCGCCCGGGATCCACAGAGGGTCTCCAGCGAAGTTCCTCGCGAACACGGTTTCCTGTAAGACGAAATGCCTAACTTCCGATGTGGAAGCGAGGGGAGAGACAGGGCAGTAATGTGGGTGAAGCCTGTCCAATACAGTCCGCAGGCGTCTGCCCATCAGGAGCTCAGCTGGGGACTTATTAGTGACTGTGCACGGGGTTGAGTGCTGGCTCAGCAAGAAACGGGAAAGTCTGTGGTGCCAGTCTTCCTTGCTGAACCTAGCTAGAGCTTCTTTAGTGGTCCTAATGGCTCTTTCAGCCAATCCGTTACTGGCAGGATGAAAGGGGGCCGTGAAGATGTGGCGGATGCCCAGGTTGGCAGCGAAACGGCTGAACTCGGCTGATGCGAACTGGGGGCCATTGTCGGAAACAATAGAGTCTGGAAGCCCGTGTGTTACAAACAGGCGAGTCAATACCTTGGTAATCGCTTGTGTGGTGGTTGTGGATAGTTGTGCTACATCAATCCACTTCGAATAGGAGTCCACGACCACCAGGAACATTTTTCCGTGCAACGGGCCGGCTAGGTCGATGTGAATTCTGGACCACGGAGCGCTGGCGCTTTCCCACTTAGTGGGGGTGGCAATTGGAGGGGCTGGATGGGATTCCTGGCAGGGATGGCAGGAGCTTACCCATCTGATGATGTCTTCGTCGAGGCCCGGCCACCATACGTAGCTGCGTGCTAATGCCTTCATTCTGACGATGCCAGGGTGCCCCTCGTGCAACGCCTCTAGAACTCGGGTATGCAGTGAGGTCGGGATGACCACTCGTGTGCCCCACAGCAAACAACCCTGCAAACTGGATAATTCCTGTAGGCAGGTCTTGAAAGGTATAAATTTGGTTTCAACATCACCGCCCGGCCACCCCCTCCTCACCTAGTCCAGTACCTGGGCGATCGTTGTGTCAGTCTTGGATTTGGCCGCAATGTCAAGGGCAGTGATGGGGAGGTCCAATTGGGTGACCTCAAAGATAGCATGGACCGGTGCAGGGTCTTCAGCTGGAGCCGGCAGGGGGCAGCAGCTGAGGGCGTCTGCGTGGGACAATGTTTTACCTGGACGGTGTGTGAGTCTATACGAGTATGCTGCTAGGAAAAGAGTCCATCTCGTCATTCTAGGGGACAGGACTTGAGGGGTCTGTTTGTCCCCAGCTAGTAGACCCAGGAGAGGCTTATGATCCGTGACCAGCTCGAAAAAGTGGCCAAAGAGAAATTCGTGAAATTTCTTCACTGCTGCGACAGCTGCTAGAGCTTCCTTATCGATTTGGCTATAATTGCGCTCTGTCGCAGAGAGCGTCCTGGAAAAAAACGCGATGGGAACCTCGGAGCCATTGGGGAGCCTGTGGCTTAACACTGCCCCAATTCCAAAAGGGGATGCGTCTGCTGCTAGCACTAATGGAAGGTTGGGGTCGAACTGAATAAGGACCGCCTCTGACGTGAGTAGTGATTTGACTGCGCGAAAAGCGGAGTCTTCTTTGTGTCCCCAGTGCCAAGGCGATTTTTTATCCAAAAGTCTGTGCAGGGGTTCTGCCACTGATGCTTTATGGGGCAGGAAGGATGCGTAAAAATTCAATAGCCCCAAAAAGGCCTGCAGTTCCGCTTTGGAGGTTGGAGTGGGTGCCTCGTGAATTGCCTTAACCTTGGACTCCAGGGGGTGAATGCCTGAGGCGTCAATTTTATAACCCAGAAAGTCCACCTGTCTAGTGGCAATGGCACATTTTTCTTTTTTTAATTTGAGGCCATGCTGTCTGAACCTCTCTAACACTGCTCGAACTCTCTGGAAGAGTTGGGGTCTGTCCCTGGCCGAGACTAAGATGTCGTCGAAGTAGGGTACTACACCAGGGAGGCCCTGCAAAATCCGCTCCATGAGGGATTGAAAAATACCTGGGGCAACACTTACGCCAAATTGGAGACGCTTGCACCGGAAAGCACCCCTGTGGGTGACAATGGTCTGGAGTTCCGCTGTTTGGTTGTCAACAGGGAACTGTTGATACGCTTGAGACATGTCCAATTTGGCAAAAATGCTGCCAGGTTCAAAAGTGTGTAATAAATGCTGAATGACGGGCACTGGGTAAGCGCTAACTTGTAAAAACTTATTAATTGTGGTTTTGTAGTCCGAGCAAATTCTCAGGCTACCGTCTTTTTTGAGGGGTGTGACAATGGGCGTCTCCCATTTGGCGAAATCTGTTGGCTCAATGACCCCTTGTTTTAATAATTTATCCAATTCCGCATCTAATTTAGGCCGAATAGCGAATGGGACTCTACGCGGTTTTAGCCTGATTGGGACTGCTTGGGGGTCGACTGAGAATGAGATAGGGGTACCGTTATAACACCCCAGCTCATCGCTGAATACATCTGAGTAGTCAGCGAATAAGGAGTCAGTGTCAGAGGTTGAGACAGCATGGACTCCTGTTAGCCCAAGGCCGAGATGGGGAAACCAATCAAGCCCCAAGAGTGTGGGGAGGTTGCCGTTAACTACCACTAGAGGTAGGTGGCCTTTGAAAGTTTTAAAATTGACAAGGAACTTGCCTCTGCCGATTATAGGAATGTCCTTCCCCTGGTAGTCCTTCAGGCTAAACTGGCACTTCTGGAGCCGGCTTCTTGATAGACTGGGCTGTAGCCTCTTGAGGGTGCTCCACGAGATAATTGAGAGCACTGACCCTGTGTCAACCTCCATGCGACAAGGTTTACCTTCTAACAAAACGGAGAGAGAGATTTTACTAATGGTATGGCAAGTGTGCTTGGCATGGTGGTGAGTGCAACAGTTCAATACTTGCCTCTGAGGTCCAGAATGTGAGAAGGGAGGGTGCCTTTGTGCCGAGTTGTGAGGGGCTTGACAGACTCTAGCGATGTGCCCCTTTTTGTGGCAGATGTTGCAGGTGGCTCCTTTGAATTTGCAGGTGGCCCTCGGGTGAGATCCACCACAGGATAGGCACAGGGTGATGTGCTTGGGTGGACTGATGCTTTCTTGCTTGGCTCCTACCTGTGGTTGTCTGGCGTTGGCGAGGCGGTGGATGTCGGTTGCATCACTGGGGTCTTCTTCTATGACCACCTCTTCGGAGTGGACTGGAACTGCAGTTAGCTTGGAAGTAGGACCTTGGATTTCGGTGGCTGAGTGTGCTGCCAGCTCTGCTGCCAGGGCCTCCTCGACGGCTTGTGCGAGGTTGAGGTCCTTCTTAGCAAGTAGGCGCCTTTGGAAGTGAAGATCCTTGACTCCGCAGACTAGCTGATCGAGGAGCATGTCCTCCAGGTAGGTTCCAAACCCACAATGGAGTGCTGCAGTCCTGAGGGCGGCCATGTACTGGTTGATGGTCTCTTTGTCTGATTGCTTCCTCATACGGAAGGTGAATCGCCTGGCAATCTGTGAGGGTCTGGGAGAATAGTGGTTAGTAAGGATTTCTAACAATTCTGACCATGGAACGTTTTTTAACTCACGTGGAGCCACGAGTGCTGTGGCAGTGTCAAAGACGATGGCTCCACAGTAGATCAGGAAATATGATTTTTTCCGGTGCTCCCCTGCATCAGCCAGCCCAATTGCGTCGATGTAATGGTTAAAGCGGTTCTTGTATGATTCCCACTTCTCCTCATCCGGCTTGAACGCTGGGAAGACTGGGTTGGAATTCATAGTGAGGAATTCAGGTTGTATAATCTGTTGGAAAAATCTCTCTGGGGCAGCAGCAGGAAGGTTTCTTGTGCCTGTGGCAGGCAAGTGACTTCAGCTCTGGAGAGGCTTTTCACAACTCTCTCTCTCTCTCTGGGCTAACACGAGGTTAGGCTGCACGGCCGTTGGCAGCGTTTTGAAATTCGCGCCTGCGTGGGCGTCAGTGACTTTGAATTACAGCACCGCGCTGTACTTTTAGGGCAGAAATTCAAATGACAGCCGTTTGAATTTCGCGCCTAAAGAAACGAGCGGCTGCGGCTCGCAGCGCTTCACTTTCCCTGTAGCTTGGCTAACAAGCGGCTACAGATGCTTCTCACTCTCGCTGCTTGCTGACCGCTCTCTCTGGCTGCAGACCAGCGTTCGCTTTCGTTGTTTGCTGATCGTTCTCTCTAGCTGTGGATCAGCGTTTTGCTCTTATTGCCTGCTGATCACTCTCTCTGGCTGCGGATCAGCGGCTAGTGATTCAGCGGTTGCAATGTGCCTCTGGTAGCCATCCCATCCTCGTCGCCAGTGTTAAGTTTGGGTAATGAGAGGCTGAACCAGGGCATGGGTGCAACAAATACTTTATTAAGATAATAAAGGACTGAACGTGCTAGCCAAGCCTGGAACTGGCTCGCAACGATCAGCAACTGGTTGGACCCCGCAGCCTGCTTTTATAGCTGGCTGCTGGGGAGAACCAACCAATGAGCGAGGGGGCAGCCGCCCCCGCAGCGCGAACGGACCTGAGTGGGAACTCCTTAGAGTTCCAGGGACATAACAGAGACAGTAAGGAACTTTTTTTAGAAAAAAACTTCATTCTCCGTGTGCTTTGGAACAACATTGGATTGTCTTCTCCTTCCTCCTCTGCTTCTTCTGAGGCAGTTGCTTTGGCTGGGATTTGTTGCTGATAAGACTTTCTTAACTTGCCAGTGCACTCTGCCTGATCTCATTTCTTGATGAGGAAAGGATTAAATGGAAGGGTGGAGAAGTTAAGGGAGTTTCAGATTCTGTAGAGGTGATTGGAAGATGAAATGCAAGAAACCCTCAGGCACTCTTCACTTGCCTTGTAATGAACTTATTACAAGAACCAGACTTTCCACCCATTTAAAAAATGCTTCAATAGTTTGTCTATGGAAATTCTCAGTCATCCAGATCAGTGGTGGGATTCAATTTTTTTTAGTAGCGGTTCCATGGCTTGGTGGGCATGGCTTGATGGGCATGGCAGGAGTAGGTTACTGCAAAATCCCCATTCCCTCCCCACCCCACTAGCCTGCTTTCCAGCTCTGTCCTCCTATGCAGGGCAACAAAAGAAGACCCAGATGATCAGCTGGGACTTGGCAGGCAGAGAATAGAAGGGGGTGGGGCCAGTCAGAGGTGGCATTTGCCCTTTTTCCAAACTACTCAAAATTTCCACTACCAGTTCTCCAGAACTGGTCAGAACCAGCTGAATACCACCTCTAATCCAGATCATGATTGTCCCAAAGGTGATTTTTAAAGAGAAAATTGGACTTTCTTGTTTTTCCTTGAAGACATTTCCCTTCTTCAGTTCTGAAGCTTCTTCAGTTCTGACTGAAGTTCTTGAATTCTTCAGTCAGAACTGAAGAAAGTTCTTGGATGAGAAGCAAAATGTCTTCGAGGAAAAACAAAGTAACTCCAGTTGCCTTTTGAAAAAGTACCTTTGGGGCCTTTTAGTTTTTTGGAAAAGCTAAAACCCCAAAGATTGTAAGATAATGACAACAGTGGAATGCTGAAAACTATTTCTATTATAAACTCTGTCTGTGGGAGTTCATTTAATACCCAAACTCCCACTTTTTGCTACTTATTTAAAAGTACAGAAGATTCATAAAGGTAAAAAAAATAGGGAACAGTGATACGGATTTCTATATGTGTCTAAATACATATATAGATAGTGAGGGTCACTAAAGCTTCCTACAAAAAAATAAAAAAAAAAGATTTCCCCCAGTTTTACTCTAATTAGTACCCTGTCATGTTTCATCAAATTCAGATTAGCAAACTTAGTTACTGAACTAAATAATCTTTGGCATAAACTAAACATACAATAGTAATTTAGTATGACAATTTAATATGATACTGGAATTTGAATGTACAATAGAAACATATAATTAACTAATGTTTTGTAATAGCACCCTGCCAAGATGAGAGATTTCAGGTAGAGGGGATGTATAATGTTCGGGAGTAAAAATATTGACATAAGAAAAATGTAACCAGCTATGAATGGCTGCTTATAAAAACTTTCTTACTGAAATTCTCATCTACTTTCTTTCAGATTTTTGAATTATTTTCTGATATACTTTCCTTTTCCAGGTGAATTTCTTTCCTACCTGTCCCTCTGTTGTTCAATCTGAACAACAGGAGCTCTCAGGAACCATCAGTGGGACTTTCCCACTATTTCTTACTTGAGAATTTTCAATGAGAGGGGCAGGGAACTGGAAACTTAGACCCTCTGTATTCAAAGGAGGTTTATTTTCAATATGATGCATTTGAATATACACACATAATTCTCATACTTAACCTAATATTCTCTGTTTGGAATTATCTCTTAATTATCAGGCAGAGAAAGTTCTTTTATATCCAATGGTACTTGATCATTTCGGCTTATAGGTGGATAACTTGAAGCTGAAAATCTGTATGTTTCTCCATAATCCCATAGTTGGTTCTTGGAAGCTCTGTAACCACAATTGCTTCAAATTGACTTCTAGGGTGAGAAAATGTTCTTCCTTCCTTCCATGGTCTTTGTGGCAATAATCAGAAGCCTTTGAAATGACTTTGATGATATATCAGCAAGGAAAGGCTGAGTCCTCTGCTTTCCCATTTTCCAAAATTTATTTTTAATAAATTGTAGAGAACATTAATACATGAAATAAACCTTGCTGAGATGATAGATTTTTCTTTTCTGATGCCAAACCAAACTATTTTTCTCCCCAAGGCAAATTCCATTCCATATACTCAAATTGTTGGCACTTGATCCTTCAACATTGGTAAAGAGATAAGGTCTTCCACTATATCTGCTTGTTTTGGGGGGCAGGGCAGAACTTATGGTACAGCATATAGAGATCCCGCCTATATGAAAGTGAGCAGGTCTGAAGGTTTGGTAATAATACCTGAGTTGCTGGGTTATTATCCAAGGCAGCTGATCTTTCTAATGTTCGAGCTGGTACAGTTCTCTTTGGCAGTTGTGATCTATTCTTGTGTCTGAGCTATTTTATCATTCAGTGGTTAAAAGACATTTCTGAAAATGTTCTTTCAGAACTTGTAATGTTTCTGGTTTGTGTTTCAAGGGAAATCTTGTTGGGAATTCTTGATTCAATGTGCTAGCCTCTTGACCCATGATATAGCAAAATGCTTAGGAAAATGGGTTTCTTGAAGAAGTTCTGATAGCTCATTGTTACAAATCAATGGAGTTTGAATGGCATAGGAGATTTGCTGGTCTGGTGATGGTGAAGATAATTCAAAGAGGGCATTTTTTTAACAATTACCTCTCAAATTGTCTTGATTTTTTTTAAAAATATAGAAAACTGGAAAAATGTTCACAAATGTATTGAAAGGAAAAAAATAAGATATTAAGAGAGGAAGAACACCAATAGTTTGTTTCACATTCTTTTTTCTTTAGAGAAGAAAGAATATTTTCTTAGACATGAACCAAGGGGCAGCTATGAGATAGCTATTCATCAGCTTGAATGATAGCAAATCCTAGGTGTCTGATAGTTCTTAGGTTAAAATATTTCTCTGACATTTACAAATATCTACAATATGGGTTGCCATTAATTACAAGGGTTTCTTAGGTTGTTAAGATAC